AGGTATATGAGTAATATAAGTTTACGGGACTCTTTCCCATCATAGAGCTTATTAGATGGTTTTGCCCTTAAAATTAATTTCAATATTGAGCTCTGGAGATCGCAAAATAATCCAATCAACTGACGATTAATACAATAAAGGAGTAGCTCAACTTGTTTACCATCATTGGATATCAATCGATGTTTCTTTTATTGTTGAAAACAATAAAATGTAGCAAAAACAACAATTAAACTAATACATCGCTGATATGTGCAAGAGAAAAATTAAAGCTATGTAGGTTTTTGCTAACCTTCACGTTAATATTACTTTTGAAAAGTTTAGCATATTTTTTATTTTGCAGAAATCTATTTGTGTCACACTTTTGAACGTTTTTCATTTAGTAATAGACGGCACTTGGTGTAGTCATAAGCTTAATTAATAAAATTAAATAATGGGATTGTTACAAGTTTGCGTGTACGTGTTATTAATAATACATTTATCAAGGACCCAGGAGCCTGCAAACCATTACGACGTGTCTGTTCAGCGTTTCGTACGACAAAATCCAGACTTTTTTCAAGATCTAATGGCTCAATTTCAGCGTATGAACGATCAAGTAACTCAACAATGGGTTCCAGCTTTGAGTCAAATTAGTGAGGGATTTCAACAGGGAGCACCTTTGCTCCAGCAAATGCCGCTGCTTGGTCAGTCTCTAGCTGAAAGTATTCTAAGTAGTTCGGATTCTTTGTTAGGGGCATTTAGTAGATCAAACGGTGATGAAGATGATGGTGAAACTGGCATTCAGCAAACACCAGCGTCGCAAAAAGACAAGGAACAGAGTGAAGGACGACAGCAACCCAAACAACCATTGGATGTGATTTGGGGCACACCTTTATTGGGATTGCAGAGTTTTATGCAAAATCCGCCTCCACCTTTCAACTATAATCCTTTTATTCCAGCTTGGCCCAATCAAAGGCAGCAAGCATCCGCTTCTGAAATGTCCGAAGTTCGAGTTAAGCCCGACATTGTCGACCCAACTTATAGATTTAGTCGCAAAACGACGCGAGCTAACAAGCCAGGAGATATGCAAAACTATCCATTTTCTAACGCGGAAATATTAAAAAAAAATATGCCTTTACTATGGCTTCATCTCACTAAATCAAAATCGGTGAATTCTAACAAACCCAAGGATAAAGAAACACAGGCGAAATTGTCTACCGTTGAAGACGAACTTGTTTTGGAATTAAAATACCTACAAAAAGTTGTCAAATTAGCTAACCAAGCGAAGCGGCTTAAGCCTTATGGCACTAGTGCGAGTATTTCCAAAGCCCTATCTCTGAGTGACATTTCCGTTTATAAAATAACAATGGGGGACATTGAAAAAGCTTTGAAAGACGAGGATGTTCTGACTATTTTGCACACATTAAATCAATATCGTCACACCATACCCAACAAGCGTCAAATTTCATCAAATGATCTTCTACAGATGCTTTCCGCAGAAGATTTAATGAAAATTATTAGTCACAACTCCCGGATGTCGCCTAAAGTTGAAAACAATTGGATGAAAGGCGAAGAAGCCTTAAAGTCAAATGAATTGGAAATGAGTACCCATAATATCGATAATATGAAGTATTTGGTAAACGAAGGTGCTATTGGAAAATCTATGTCAATGTTGCACAATCCCGCGCTCAGTTATTGGCCCGGTCTTCAACCAATAGAGCGACAGCCTACTGTAAATCCGTCTCCATTTCCCACCCAATGGCCGCCATCTCAACTTAAACAATTCACCCAAACAGTAGTGTTTCCACCACAATACCGGATGGGACGAGCTTTGACTCAACTTCCACAACAAAGCTCGAGACAAGTGATGCAATCGCTACACATGTTTGAACCCAAACTGCGACAACAACAACAGGACATACAACAGCTGACACCTGTAGTTAATACACCCGGCGAACTTGAGCAACGACATTGGAGGAACAGAGCTATGATGCAGTTACCTCAACAATCTTTGCCAACAAGTGATCCCGTCCTGAGACAAATGCAGAACGATTTTCCCGTAGTGTCACAACCATCCCAACAACAATTAGCTGAGATTAAAAGAATTGACACCATAAATCCGCAGCATAAACCTAAAAAAAACCCTATTTCAGCAGAGCTTGATTCTAATAGAACAGGCATGGAACCACAACTTCCCAATGAAGACGATTTGACGAACGAAAGACCTGACACCATAAATCCACAGCATAAACCTAAGAAAAACCCAACTCCACCAGAGCTTGATTCGAATAGAACAGGCGTAAAAACACAATCTCCCAATCAAGGCAATCTGAAGAAAAACGAACAAAAAATCAACCATGCAGGCCATCGTAAGAAGATGCCCGAAAATACCCGGCATAGCAGTAACCTGTACGGAACAGCTTATGACAATTATGATTTCTTATACTATCCTCAAGTTTATACGAAACTACAACACACAAATAACAACAAATTAGACCGAATCCCTTGCCCAATAGTTGTTAACAACTATTACGGCGACTGCTCTACAACGCCCACAAACAACTTAAATACTCTAGCAACTAGCCATAGCGGCAACAACAATGATCCCGCTTCACATCTCTCCACTACGACTCTATGTACTGAAACTAACACTGATAGCTACAACGATTTTCCTGTGACTGCCGCCTCTGCGCTTTTCGGCCCTACTCGTTCCAATATTAATAATTTGGTCACGCAGCGTACTCACATTAATGCCAGTCCCTATAAAATGGCCATCGGAGATGACGAAATATTTAAAATGCTTCAAGAAAATAAAGCTTTGCCGGTAAGTCCATCGTCCTCTTCTAGAACGCAATTGTAACCCGCCCCTACACATAAGTAAAAAAGAAAATTTCCAAGTTCCTTGTGATTTATTACTTTGGGAAACCTTCTGAAATAACTTCATTTAATTTTTTATTAATGTCAACAAAACTCCAGCCCACCAACAATCTTACGCTAACGGTTGTTTACTTCACAGCCTAACAAGCCCTTAGTAGCAAAAGTTGTCTATTTAGCTATCGCCAACTTTGTTGTGTATTTAGCCTTGGGAAATTTTGTAAGCCAACTTTTATCCATGCTCAGTGCTATAATCAACAGTACGTTGCCTACTTAACTTTTGATAGCCTAGTGACCCCTAAGTTATTTTAAGAAAGACTTAGTCCACTTAATTACCACTTAATTAGCAACAAATAATAAAACACATTACTTACTTACTCTTAGAAAACCTAAAAGCCAGCTAAGTACATCTCAGTGATTAATTCTTTTCTTCTTTACCTAGAAAAATTTGAAAAAAGTGAATTATTTCGACAATGGAACCTAAACAAAATTTTCCAAATTAATTAATCACATCATGCTTTAAATGCATCGTTATTAACAGGTGACGTTTTTATAGAATTCAATGATGATAACTGCTACTCATACGCAGAGACAGCAACATTCAATGCCTGAAAGGGATAAGCAGCAAGGACAACAAAACATTTCTTTTTCAAATAAACAGGAAACCAGGTTAGATACGCAAAACCTTCAATATTTTAATGATATAGTAATGTATAAGAAGCCAGAAGCGAAATATAGCAAACGTAGTAAAAGAAACGCTAATTATTACACTTTCGAGACCATAGATGAGCACTCATTAAACGAGCTTAGGAAAGTATATAAAAATAATTTAAAAGAAGTCACTTTGAACCCTAATGAAAATCCAACTGAGACATTGATGCGGTATGATGCCGAATCAATACGTGAGGCCTTGGAAACCGTTAACGCACATCCGGAACCGATCCAAGTAATTCATGAGCCACAAGAAACTGTGGAAGTAAACAAGCCCCAGCATCTACTAAGCAAAGCTAAAATAAAGTGTAGAGAAGCGAATGGGAAAGCGAAGAACGAAATGAAAGCTTCCTCAGAAAAATAAAAAATGCCGTTTCTTTTGCTAAATTTTAATTAAGCTTTGATTTCATTTAGTTTAAGATAAGTTTTATTTGTTTAATCTAATAGTCGTTGTAGTCAAATGTGCATTACATGATATTTACATCAATACACTTTTCTTTCTTTTCCAAATATTCATGCAAATCAACATCGCAAAATCGCTACGTTATAACAGCCATAACCATCCACCTATATCATCGCCGTCATTACCATCAACCTCATCCGATGCTGGATTTAAACCCGAGACACCCGAAGAACGGACGTTTACTCATTTTAGTCCTTTTCTAATGAAACCATTCATCGGTTTACCGCCCATCAAACATCATAACGATCCTTGGCTGCATAAACCATACAATTTGCATAAACCGATCTTCCATAAACTCACTACAAGTCATTTTTCACCTTTAAAACGTTTTAAAAGATCAACAACCTCTTCCACTTCTTCTCATATAAATGTGTTAACACCCGATTTACTGAAACGTTTATTAACACTGAATATGAATTTTGAAAAAAGATTTCCAATTTTATACAAGGTACTAATGGGTCACTACACAAACGACAAATATACTGAATTAACAATAACGCCACCAATTGTCGTTGGGAACATGTCGAATCCGAATCTAGTTGAGAAGGAAAAATCCGGGACTAAAGAAAGTGAGGAGGTTCTCTTATTATTACAAAAATTAAAAAAAAAAAATTTTTCAAATCTCCTAAGACAAGAAGGACAAAGTGATCAAAAAACTTCGACTCAAAATTTGGATAATTTGTTTATTTGGGATCAGGACTTCTAGCTACTCTTGAAATTTTATATAAACCTAAAACGTAAAAAGTCATTACATTGTAGTGAAAATGATTTCATCATTAATCAAATAAAGAAGTAAAACGCACTCTCCAAATATCTGATTAAAAATATGTGGATTGAATTGCATTAAAGTCTCTCTAAAAATATAGATTCTACATTTGCATAAGTAAAGCGATTAGTAGTATTTGTTCGCTGCTTAAAACTACCGACTATAACCTCAAAATTCTTCTAGGACAATTGATTTGGCCTAGAGTGTTTTCTATCGTTCGTATTGGGTTGAGTCGGTGTAAAGATTGCGCGGAGAATATATGATAAATGTGGTTTCAATTATCTAGGAGAAGCTAGAAAGATGAACAGAGACGTAAAATGTATATCACGATACCAGTCTATACATATATATATAAAGTGAATACACTTTGGATCCATCTCGTTAACGCTACATATAATACAACGGGTTTCTACTTACTTGTTTATCTCTGCATCTATTCGGTATTTTTTTTTCTTTTTTTTTCTTGATGTGCTAAGATGTGTTAAGGATAAATAGACTGGGGCTATTAACAAATAACAAAAAATATATTTTCTCTGGCAGCAATAAAGATGATAGGCTTTTATTTCAGGATTATTTTTGTTTTATTGATAACCCGATGATGTTGTTCTCTCTAAGATTTTGTAAAACTGCGACTACATGAAACAAAAAGTTTATTTATGACTTTGTAGATTTAGAAAGGGATGTTAACAGTTTTAATAAAGTTAGCTACCTTAGATTTGGTAGACGCTATTATAGATATTGAAAATCTCATATGTTTGTCGGGTGTCGGTTAGCCGGAGCTCTATTAAGCTAGTTGATAGGTGTGTTTGGTAGTTAAATTCGAATTTCCTTCGTAACCTTATACTTAGCATGGGGAAAAAAGCAAAACATATTAAATTCGGATTAGCTATGAGGGTTGCGATGATCACTAAGCAAGAAAAACAAATGTAACTGTATAGGTTAATCCTAGGGGAGACCATCCCTGACCGATGATGATACTGTCAAAATCATATCAAACCAATCGAATATTAGGGAACACCGAACATTGCGGAAAGGATTGATTCAGTTCAGCACTTTGCCTTATTTCAAAAATGGGCAGAACTTTTAAGTAGGCCTGTTATTTTCCTAGTGACTTTAATACGCTAATGAATTTGTATCAGCGTTGTAATTGAATTTCTTTTCGTGCTTCAATGACCCTTAAAAAGCTGTTACTTTCTGATTGTCTCAAGCGCATTTAACATGTTCCCGGCGTGCGAGTAATACATGCTTAATTTTTGTTTCCCTTTATAATACATCTTATGTGCATTCCAAAGAACTTCTTGCTTTTCGGAATTTTGAAATGTCGTGGTATTTTCAGCCATTTCCATCCATGCGAACTTACACATGTGCAAGCCGCGAACAAGTAAAAGGTATCACTATTGTTACAGTTGTGTATTAAGCCAACAAGCTCAACTCAAAAAACTTTAAAAGTAATTATAGGAACGACATCAAAAAGAAAAAACAAACGGCACTAAAAGAACAAGTTAAAACGTTATGGTCGGGCAAAGCCGACCATTGTAGTTCTTACATCACTTCGCAATCTTTTTTTAAATAGAGCGTTATTATTATCAGTTGAATGAGCAATCCGTACCGATCTATTCTGCTCGCCTTTGCCCCTAATCGTTCAGTTTTAGGCTTCTTATCAACCATGCCACTTTCTTTGGAACGGAGCACCACACCATCTCGAGTGTTATAAAATGCCAAACACTCAGCACACTGACACTGCAGATGGTCTCATATTCACGTAGAATGTGATAGGACGTCGCAGTCATCCTGTGACAGAATCTCCATGCATCGGTATCGGAGATACCAATGTTATTCAGATCATACCTGAGGGAATTATGAGCAGTATAGAAACCAGTGACCAAACGAAGTCGCTCCTTTTTAGTTCCAGTAGTTTGTGTACTATACCGGAGGATCGTATGAATCTTTCTGCATGCCGTTGTCTTGCACAGTGCTTTCCGGAGCCCATTGCGATACCATACCATATTAATATGGCTTCTTGCAAAACCGCGTGATGATCCCATCCTATTGAGCTTCAACAGGGACCAAGTTGCAGGACGTAAATTCAGTAGCAAAATAGCTGACCAGGCTTACAGACTGATATTAATCGATTTAGAAAATACTTGTAAATCAATAGATATAAAAAATAATGGATCAAGTCGATATCGGTCTTGTATATACCCACAAAAATATAATATTCTTTTGTACCACAAGTGATTTGGAGGTTAAAGAGGCTGCATAATAAAAATGACTTTATCAAGGAATTGTGGGCAATGTGTAGCATTGACAGTGGGTAAATTTTTACAGATTTTTGAAAAGATACTGACGCAAACCCGTTCAGTTGAAAATTTAATTAACTTCGAATATCTTGATAGGCAAAGGGCAGCGTACCAAATAGAAGCAACTAAAGTAATACTTATTCCATATTTATTATTATTTTTGATTAATTTAGGCACAGAAATAAATTCTAAGACTAAAGTCCTAAAGCACTAGCATCTAAGGTTATCGGCTTTATTGAAAAGCTTTACGGTATTTGAGATTTTAAGCCGCGCCATTGAGTTGTTGTTGTTAGTCGAGGTCCCTTGCCTTACTCGGCCACTTGGGCGGATATTTCATATTTGAAAAGTCGAAAAGTTAAGAAATTTGTACCATTAAACAAGTTAATGGTAATTCGATATGTTAAGATTGTATTTATCACGTTCTTGAATGTATACGAAGTTCGATTATATTTAGCATTTAAGTAGGAGACACAAGCAATTTTGAAGAATCGCTCGAAATAGGCAAAATGCATCGCATTCTCACAGAAATATATACGTCAAGCAAAAATTTTGATCTCGAAAATTCTTGTCTGATAGATGCCACTTGACATTTGCCAACTTGGGATGCAATATTCGTACACAATCGAAAAGATGGTCAGTCAATTGTTCTAACACATTTGTGAAACTGCGACCAGAGTACAGGTAGCGAAGTTGTGGCTCAAATGCCGTTAACGCTAAATGTTAAACATACTTTGTCTATATAAAGTAAGCGTAGAGATGGTGCTGTGATGCCATGAAAGCCGGATCATTTGCTAGGCATTATATACACTAAAAATAGTGAATTTGAAAATCATTTGATGATTTGAAGATTTGATGGATCACCTCATCAAAGCTATTGCCAAAACAAAAACATTGATTGAATCCAATACTATTAGTGATAGAATTAAAGCTGGCAACGTTGGGAATTCCATCTGGCCCAGCAGACATTTTTTGTTCCGAGTTTTTAGCGCGCTTCTTATGTCAGAGCGTGTGACAAATTCATAATTGTCATCCATTGCTCGCTAACTCATTAGCCGTAGTATCTGCGCCGAAACTGGTTAAGGGAATGAGCTCGCTTAAAAGGAAGACGGAATTCCTAACAATGTCTTCATAATTTGACTGTATAGGAGACATGTCACTATTATGGATGCGTTCAAAATGCTCCGCCAATATATTTACTTTGCCTATGTTGTCATATATAAGGGTATTGTTAGGAACTATAATGTCTGATGCTTCGTAGCCTTTACGCATATTTGGTCCTCTTTTTATCCTTCTGCATACATTAATGTCCATCACTATATTTCCTGTATACATTTTGAAGTAGTTCTGTTCGTGAGTATTGATAGATTCTTTTATGTTTCTGATAACTGCTTTTAAAGTAACGTACCTCTCCGGATCTGCAGTATCCTTTTTCGCATGAATGTAACGTAGAATACGTGGGCGTAGGTTCTTCGGACCTCTGTTACTAATTCGCACTTTTTTGATTGACAAGTCCATTGCTTCTTTAAATGCTGTGTTCATGTGATTAATGTCTTGGTCTATTTCTGCATTGTTTGCGAGCAAGTGATTTAGACTGTGATTGGATTTCTTGCAGTTCATAGTGTTGCAGTCATAGACAGTTTTAGGAGTCTGGCTTCTAAAATCGTGCGACTTCTACTGTTTTTCGGTCAGCGTTACAATCTAGAGTTTTAAGATCCTACTACTATGAAAGAAATATCAAAACGAACGTTGACTGGAAATTGATCGGGAGCTATCCCAAATATGTGAATAGAAAATTTCCAAAAACCTATGCCTCTCTGACAATCCCGGCACAAATATATTTAAAGAACAGTTAACTTATGCTTGTGAACCCATTTCTAGATAACCTGGTATAGCGTTTTTATACATTTTACTATTCTGTCCGTTCTTCACCAGGAATACGTTTTCTAATGCAAATAAACGCACAAGTGAACGACCGCATGATCAAACATAATTTATCACAAAACCAGATATGTTATTTCTCCCTTTCACTCTGTTAACTCTTTTACAGATTCAATGTCTCAGACAGTTTATACTTTTATTGTATATTAGAACGAGACGGGAATAGTTCTAAGAATTTTGTAATGCCCCACTGCCGGGTAGTATGTCATTTAAAGTCATCGAAAGAAAATCCAATAAACGCTTCGGTTACTTACATATGTTGTTTTTTAAACATCCCAGCAAATTTTCAGTTCTTAATTTGCTGAATAACGGAAGAAGAAGAACTTACTTACACTCTTATAGGACAATGTCGTAATTTGTTTACTTGATTTCAAGTGAAATTACGGAAATGATAAAAATTAATGAAATCACATTTATTTTATAAACTTGGTATGCAATCAATCAAACTGTCCTTTATAACAAGTTCAACTGTGTTCTTTCAACTGTGTTTTTATATTCATTACAATGTTGAACGACATGAGCGAAGAGATATACCATTCGGTATTGAAGATAGCGAACCATATGCAAAAACATTTGTTTCTGCAATAATTTCGCGAATGTTTTTGTTAAGCAAAGTTGATACACTTTTTGTGCAATATATATAAAAACTAGAGAACAACAAAGTAAAAGTACCTCAGTTAAGTTTATTAGCTTGATGTGTATGTGAACAAAAAAAAAAAAAGGCAACAAACAGCAGTGCATTGAATTTAAATGCACATAACATTGTCATACGGGCTTGATGTAC